GGGAGTGGTTTGCAGTTAGTCTTGGGGTTCTCCTAGCTTCGCAGAGTTGTTTTTTCTAGATGCTGAGAAATGCACTTACGGTGCATTACGAGACTTCTATTGATGAATGAATACACACTGAATTAATAGATTTCCCTCATTTTGGCATGGACAATTAATAATTGCGATGATGATGATGATGATGATGATGATGATGATGATGATAATAATGTGATGATGATGATAAGGAGAAGGTATGATAGCAGGTGACGACAGGCTCCTGTGCAAGGTTAATTAACAGGCCCTTTAATATGAGTGTCAACCGAGGGTCGTATCCCGAGTTCGTCATCACATTTTCAATGCACACAATCGGACAACAGTAATTATCTATAAGTTATATAATCAGTACATTCTCGACTGTCATGAAAATATACATCTAAAAAATTACGTTATAGGCATGCTCGGAAGCGGAAATTTTAACCTAAAAGATTGATATAGGCCCTATGTTTCATGTTGTTTGTTGAATGGTCTTTAGTGATATTATATTCTAATATGACCACAACATAAGGAAGAACACTTTGTCACCTACAAAGTTCAGACCCGTATACATTTATATTTCCTTAGGCCTAAATCATAAGGAAGTCCGCTCTATATCCAAATTTCAGGAAATTATACGTTTTATGCATGCACCAACGTGGGAATTTTGTTTATGTTGTTTGCTGAATGGTCTTCTTTAAAAATATAACAGTCTAATATGACCACAACACAAGGAAGTTCATTCGTTAAATGTTTAGTAGATAGTACAGAGAATTATTATGTTTATCAAAATCATTATATAAAGGGTCGGTGGCCTGCGGATTTTAGCACGAGAACGCGTAGGCGTTACTCCATGCTGAGCATGGATAGCTGTTCTATTGCTGGGTACTACATTCCGGCTAAAAAAAACTCTGTCTTTAGGTCTCCGCCTTTTGGCCTTTTTACATCCTGATTGATGCGTCGGGGATAATAGCGTTGTGTTCGTTGACAATCAATAGAAAATTCAAAATTAGTGAGTGGTAAAATAATCGAGCTCTCCTTTCGCCCTCTACTGGATCCGTCACTG